ATGGAAAGTTCCCTAAAATGGAATTTTCTTAAAATAAAAATTTTTTTATTTTAGAAATCGGTTTCCTAATTTTGAAGTCAAATCGAAATTTGGAAGTAAATAACCTAAAAGGAAATTAGTTTCCTAATTTAGGTTTAAGGGCATTTTGAAAAATTGTTTCTCGATGTGGGCCACCTAAAATTATCTAACTTAATTTATTTGAATAGTCTAAATTAATTAATTAGGAAAAAAATAGTTTTGGACCAATAGTTTTAATTAAAAGCCTAAAAGATATTTTGATAAGATGATAAACATGAATATTATTGGATAGGGATGAATGTTTTAAATATAAGATCAAAAAGCCCACATGTAAAATAACTTTTAATCCTTAGAGGATTAAGAAGCAACAATCAAGAGTCTAATTAGGACTTATTGTTTCCTTCCTTCTCCTTGGAGGATAAGAAAACTCTCCCCATATAGATATGAGGAGAGATACAACGATAAGAGAGGGTTGTTTAGAAGAGAGAAAAATGGAAAAGCAAGAAAGGAAATTTTAGGGCACACGAAGTGTCAAAAAAATAAAGAGAAAATTGTTTTCTTCTTAACCCTAGCATATGCCACATTCCCTCTCTCTCTTTGGGTTGTTGCAAAGTTACCTTGATTAGATTTCTAAAGTAAAAACACTAAACAAGTCGGAAAAGATGGAGCTAGCAATCTACCAATTTTGAGTGCTTCTTATGTGGTGGTTGGACTCGTGTGGATTATCGATAGAGGTCGAACACTTAGATAGCTCTTTTTTATAAAAGTTTAAATCTTTTCTATAAGAGGTAATTCTTTATTTATCGCTTTAATTCAAGAATATATGGTTAATTGATTCAATGATATGATCTTAGACCACTTTAGATGGATAAAAATTTTATTTTATTTCGCATCTCCATAAGATGCATGATCTTTCGATTAGACATGACGAGACAACTCTAACTTTGCTAGACATGACAAACCACTTTAACTTTTCTAGATATGATGACCACTCGACCTTGACAAGATATGTCAAACCATTCGACTTTGCTAGATGTGACGGACCACTTTGACTCTACTAGACATGATAAACCACTTTGATTTGATAGAATATGATAAACCACTATGACTCGTTAGATGTGAAAGACCAATCTAATTTAGTAGAATATAACATTCGACTCTACTAGATATGACATACCACCGTGACTTTGCTATAATTGATAGACTACTCGATTTGATAAGATATGATAGACCACTCTAATTTAATATTATGTGATAAACCATTCGACTCTACTAGACATAACAAACCACTCTAACTTTAGCGAACGTGATAGACTACTTTAACTCTACTAAACTTGGTAGAACATTCTGATTTAGTTAGATGTAATAGACTACTTTAACTTTGTTATACTTGATGGATCCTTCTAATTTGATTGAACGTGATAGACCATTTTGACTCTACTAGATGAGAGAGAGACTCTAACTTTGGTAGGAAGTGACAAACCACTCTAACTCTACTAGACGGGAGAGACCATTTTGACCATATTAAGACATGACAAAACATTTTGACCTTAGCAGGATATTACGGACCACATTAACTTTACTATACGTGACAAATCACTTTGATTTGGTAAGACATGATAAACCATTCTGATTTTGCTAGACATGATAGACCAATCGACTTTACTATACATGATAGACCATTTTGATTTGATAAGACATGATATGCCACTCGACTCGATTTATAAAAAAGACAAGTAAAACACAAGTAGCAAATTTAGAGTTTTTAGAGAAGCATAAGTCGTCACTACCAAAACATAGATTTCTCCTCTTTTTCTCTTCATTTACGTGTCGTCTAGTTTGAATAGGTTCAAAATTTTTAGTTAGCTACATCTAATGAGCTTGTCTATTTACATTTCGATTATAATTAATAGGTTCAACACCTATTGCCACTACATCATCCATAAAAGTACCATCTAGCTTTCAAATTTTAAAGGTCGACCTCCTCACATTATCCTTAATACATGCATGAAAAAATAGTATATTCTTGTCCCCATCCGCAACCTATTCGATTCATGCATATTGTTTAAACATGTCTTCATCCCACCTAATTAATAAAGCTAGCTCAATTTTCTTATCTTGAAGCGGAGTAGCCGAATAAGTATTCTAACCTTAAACCAAGTCCGAATCTAACCAAAATATATCATCCTATAAGACTTCTATCTTCCTTCTAATATTTCAAAAACCTCTTAGCTCTACACCTATAGCTTATCCCTAAGATGTTTTAATTTCGATGTAAGACCTTCATAGGTGAACCCTTCACCCCTCTTGCCCATGTGGTTCTCATAAAATCAATAAATTCATGATGCTCCAAACCATATTTGTTGAAACCGAAACATCACTTGGCCATTTCTTAGTTTGTTAGGCGGAATTAACATTAGGCAATGATAAAAAACTATACATGCCCAATGTTGGATGGTGAGGTTCATCCTAAAGGCTAAATATGAACCATTTGCCATCACTCTATCCAATCTCTCCTAAATTCGAGCTAGACTTGTTTAATTGTTACACTACGTATACTTACTACCCCGATAACCCAAGTCAACCATACCAATTCTATCATAACAATTATGAAATTCTATCATACCTTGAATATTAAAACCATCACCTCTTATCTTTTCATCGATTGATGCTATGACATTACGATCCTCACCCATAATCCACGATTCTTGGGTACCTAATGCCAACCTATCCAATTTAACCCATAACTCCCGACGCTCCTTCCTATTATAACTACTATAAACTATAAAGACTCATATTTACCAGTATGAGTACCCAAAATGCCAATGATAACCACCTATTTATACACTACTTTATAAGTCACCGTAATATCCTTATCTCAAATTAACTAAATATAACTATTGACATGATTAAGATGCATACAATATTTATACTTAACATACTTAGCAATACTATTTATTTTGTCTCCCCTAATTTAGGATCAATAATAGGTAAAAACTTCAACTTATATTATTTCTTCAATAACCGAACATAGTTTATAGTATCGGTATTACCTATTCTTCTCATATTTCAAATAATACTCAACATTAAAATTTTGATATAGAGGATAATGTACCTAGTGCTTTATAAGCTAATCTTGTCTTCCTTCCACATTCGAGTAACTGAAGTTTCTTATTTTTGGCAAGTTTTTAGAATTTTTTGAATGTCTCTTTCACTACCTTTAAATCACCATTTGGAACATCCAAACTTCCCAAAGATAAATTATGGATATTCTTTGTTTTTTTATCTCTTTCATCCTTTAAAATCGATCCCTTTCACATGTCTAAATCGGGCATTTCATAGTCACCAATAATATGATATGTGCTCTTACCACTATTCTCCTCGTAGCAACATAGGTACTATACTCGATTTGTTGAGCCATCATGATTACTTGTTCGAAGAACCAAAAATTGCACTTAGACTAACAATGGTTATTTCCTTATGGGATTCATCCCTCAATCAAATCATCTCCTCTCGAATCCTTTCCGAGTCCTAAAACCAAGTCTTCTTCTTCCTTTGCTATATCTAATAGAACAAAAGGATTGGTATCTATAAGAATATCAGTAGCCTCCAATGTTAAATCACTTTCACTTTCACATTCACATTGGCTCCCTTCGTAAAAGATGTACCTCTGTCTTTGGATACCTACCGAGCCTTAAAATGACTACCTAAAATGTGTTGTACATCCCCAGCCTATCGTGGCATTCTCTTGATAACCATAACATTGCAGTTTATTCCTCTAGTAGAGATATAATCTATATGCCTTTGTTGTTCTTCTTTCATAACTATAATATAATCCTTAGCCATATGTTAGATGTTAAAATGGCTACCTTTGTTATGACGAACATTCTCAGCCCTCTTAGAAGTAATGTGAATACCAAGCATCATTACAATTTAGCCCTTTATTACCGATGCAATCTACTAGCAAAGGTTCATCCGTTATACTCAATGTTGAAATTTAATTATGACTACTACATTCACCATTTTCCACCTCATGACTAGTTCCTCTCTTTTATGATATATTCTCATTGCTCATGGTCTCCATATTAGATATTGATTTATCATTCACCCTAACCCATTGTTCTTATGCTTTTAGGAGCGTATCCACCTATTTTCCTATAGCCGTTTATGATACCATATTTGACTTACTAGTTTTAGTCTAATTCATTTAGTTTTCTTGCAAAAAAATATCCTTAGAATGCCCAATAAAACTACAAGATCGGTAGTATAATAAGTTACCTTTATAATCAATTTTTTGCTAAAAACCCTAGTCTTTGGAAGTGCCCACCCTTATCCTACCCGGTAAAGGTTTTGAAACATCCATTTTTAAACATATCCTCATAAAAATAAGTGTGTCAAAGCCATAATTCTCTCATCAATAGGTAAAAAGCACCCAATCCCTTCTCTTATCCATTTCAAGTAAGAAGGATTAAAAAACAACAAAGGTAAGTGATGCAACCTAACCCATAAAGAAACATAAGGGTTGTCTTTATGAAATTGGAAGTCTAGGTTCCATCAAAACACCCAATACATATAATTTTGTATCTTGTGGTCTTCTTTTAAGAGAGCCGAATCAAGTCATCTTTTGTCTTTAATCTCACTTTAACATGCCTAAGATCTAGCAGTACGTATGACTAGTTCACCTACTAAATTCCACAATCGCTGGATATGGGCATGGATATCTTTGATAGATGGTCTCCCCTTAAGAATTTTAGAATTACGGTATTATGGAATTGGGAAGGCTGCTATTTCCAGTTCAACCAAGAAGAAAAAACAAGTTAGCTTAGAATTGATAGTTGCGAGTCGTCGTGGTAAGAGCAATTGTTTTAAGGGGATATGTCTTTAGCATTTTAGGATTGTTTCCTTATGCATTTGAATGTGCTAATACCTTTGAGTAGGATACGATCGGTGGGGGTTGGAGATGCATTGAGTCATGATTTCACGGATGTTGATCCGAATCGAAAGCCATATTAGTAACTTGATCGAGCTTGGTTGTTATAGTAGTATTTTGTTTGTCCACGACCGTCTGCTTTTGGTTTTCAAGCACAAGAGTTAGCATTAAAGATGGAAGCTTCCATCGTAGAGCCTCAAGGGGTTGCATCAATGGTAAACAAGCTTTATGGTCACCATTATAAGACCTAAGGAAGTAAGCAAAAAGAGAGGAAGAAGAGGAAGTCTTGGTCGAAACCAAGAAGAAAAGAGAAATAGAGGATTTGCAACTACTAAGCTATTTGAGTATCAAGTATCATCAAGGTAAGTGTAGTCTCAACTACACCATAAGGAATTTTACAATTTTGATGCTTGATTGATGATTTATTAAAAATTTAGAAGTTAGGGTTTTATGCTTCATTGATTGTGTTTCAATATAATTGTTCGAATTGTGTTGAATTCTTGTGATATTATGAACTTGATGAGTTGGTTAGCATGATTGAAGTGTGATTATGATTTAATTAAATGATTATGGATGGTTAAAAAAAGTCAAAGGTTTTGGTCAAGCTAAGAAAATGAGACAAGATTGGTTGATGTTTTGAAGTGGTGATTTAATCATGTTTAGAAAGTGTTTGATTGTGATTAAATGCATTTGGATGGAAAAAATTCATAGATTAGCCTAAGAGGGCCATTTTGCCAAAACCTAAATTGAGACAAATATTGTGGTTTGTAAGGTCTAATGAAATATTAGGATTAAAAGAGATGGATTAATATAAAAACAAAAGGTATTGCAATGAAAATATATTCCTAAGCGAATGAGGATACCATTCGGCCAACTTAGGTAATTTGAAGTGATTGGCCTAAATATTTGAATTTATAATGGACTTATGGTTATTCAAGCATGTAAATATAGATGGGTATATAAATTTACTTGAAAAACATTTGAAAATGTGAGGTGAAATGGTGTGATTAAATTCGGCCAAAGTAGAAAGATTGAATTAATTGGTTAACTACTTAATTTATAATGAATTATTACTTATTTAAGTGTCCATATATAAATAAAAGTGAAATTTCTTGGAAAAATGATCGTACATATGCGGTGAGAATTAGTTGGCCATATTCGGCCAAATATGAAACTTTAGGGTTTCATATATGTTTTTTTTTTGGGTATTTATTTTTGCATACTATAATGTGTTTAGTACATGTTGATGCTTTATTTGACTATTTGACATGTACCATATTGATCAAATATGCATAAAATGTAAATGATCAAGGTAATGTATGTTTATTACATGCATTTCATGGCATATTGATGAAGGGTTTTCTTTCATGATTTTTCAAAGGAAAAAGAAAAAAGAAAATGCATGTTTTTTCAAGGAAATGGCCAAGTACTTCCAAGAAGGAATGCAAGAGGAATGATCACCCTCTTGTAAGGAAAAGGAAAACGAAAAGAAGAAGTACTTGGTGCTTTTATGAATTTTTCACGACTACATTATTTTTTCAAAAAAGACCAATTATATACACAATCGACTGGATGCGCTCGAAAAAGGAAAATAAATTTCAAAAGGCATAAAAGGATTTTTATTTGTATCATATGCATATCATGCATAGGTTATACTTACTAGGCATTGCTCATTTTATCCTTGTGGTGTAGGTAAAAAGACAAGAAATGATGTCACTTTATGGAGTGACTACCATTGCCAAGCAAGAACCAACTTGCTAATGAGTGTACTTTAACTTCAATTTGTGAGTTCAAGAGTTACAACTTTTTATCCTAATTTGGGACTTTAGTGTGTGTTCTAGGATTTATCTTAATAGTTTGTAAACTAATTATGCGCTAAAAGACCCTAAATAATAATAAATAAATATAAGAGTGGATTTAATGGGATTAAATTGGTATTTATGAATAAATGATTTAAATAAATAAATAGGTTAAGTTAGGAATAAAATTGGTGATATTTGGAATTAATAATTTAATTAATGGCTAGTAGATAATTGGCAATTAAATGGCAAGGAAAGATTAAATTAAATGGTCAAAAGAATGAATGGATTTAATGGGATTTAATGAGTAAAACATAATTGTATCTAATTGATCAAATTGTTATGTTTTCCAAATAATTGAAACCAATGTTCTATAAACTCAGATGACCTTTAAAATATTTTCTCCCATGATTAATTTTTCAATTAGATTAAATGAGAATTAAATTAATTGAATTTCCAACCCAAAAAGTTTATTGAAATATTAACAAATTAAACCATAAATAAGGATTAATTAATAATTGATTTAAATAGTAGGAATTGGCAACTTTTCATTAAATTGAATATTTCCAAATAAACTAAATGTTTTTCTATTTATTCTATTTTTGAAGAATTATGATGGAAATTTATTATTTTCAATTATTTTTTATTATTTTGATTTTTAAGAAAAATAACTAGAATTTATTTTACTAAAATGAATTGATTTTATTGAATGTTATTAATTTTGAATTTTCTAAGGATTGTTTGGGAAAATTAAAAGACACTAAATGATTTAATTTAACCTAAGGTATTTTAATTAAATGATTAAAATGGATTTCATAAATATTAGTTTTTGACCAAAATTTGGTATTTAATATTCCTACACATTACACTTATGAAGTAATAATATTATTTAGAAATGGAATTTTTTTGGGAATTTTTATATCTATATTTTAATTAAATGTTGATCGAATATTTCCTTAATTATTCGGGACCTTCTTTGAAATTTTGTTAACTCGTTTTTTATATGTAGAGTTAAGCGGGCTTGTTGTCTCGCATTTATTACACTTAAATAAAAGTCAACACCGGTAATATTCTCAACCTATATAGGTCCTAGGTCGGAGGTATCACATAGCTAATAAGGAAAAAAATAGGAAACCCTAAATGTATTGATCTTGCCAAAATATCCGAACAAGAGGTCGGTTACATATGGAGAAGATATGATATCACCGTCATTCCGTCCTAATGAGGTAAGTCGCATTGTTTGCATATAAAAAAAATAGCTGGTTTTACCGTGTTATATTTCTATATCTATTTGAATGAATTTATTTTATTGAGATTAGATAGTAGTGTATTTCGAGGGTTAGGCTAGTTTGAGATCGATACACATACTCAAAGAGAAAGGTTGAGAAAATAAGAATTTCGACTAATCTTTAGCAAACATGACTTATACCGACAAGTAAATGAGTTTTTAAAGATTGATAGCCTTTTATTAATATGAGAAGTGAGTCATCAACAATTTACTCACATAAATGGAAAGCCACCAACGACTTCAAGCTATGGATTTAATAAGTTACCGACAAGTTCATCATATAAGTGGGAAGCCATTGATAAATTCATTTTGGATAAATAGAAAAGCATATAAAATAATTTGGAAGCCAATGGTGGCTCATCCACACGAGTGGAAAGTTATCGATAGCTTCAATTCGGATAAACGAGATAGCAAGTAAATTAATTTAGAAGTCATAGGCGGCTTCGATCACATAAGTAGGAAGCCACCAACATCTACATTTCGACAAACAAACGAGTAGGTAAAAATATCAAGCATAATCATACAAAGCTTTTGACAACTCAATCATCCACAACACAATATTTATATCGGTCATTTATCATTTTAAACAATCCAAATATCATGAAAATGTTACAAGTCCCTCTCCTGGATGCCTCTAGCATGTGTGTTACACATGTTACCATCGTCTAGCCACCATCGACTACTACATCCAAATCTAGGCTTGTAGAAGGGCTCACATTGTAGAGGAAGGCCTAATCTACTTGTCTATGGTGGTGGAAGTCACCACCTATGTCGGAGGAGGGAGATTAACAACTTCAAAGTTTTGGCCACTCCTTCCTCTCTTCTCAACAAAGATTCCGATGATATTAAGGAGTTTTTAGGGCACCAATCAACCCATGAGGCTATAGAGAGTGTTTACGTAGTAGTTAGGAGGTTCAATTTGGCCTTTGATCGAGTGATTTTACCGAGTTACATAAAATGGGTTAGAAAATGGGTCTTCATCAATTAAGCCATTTTTGTATGACTTTTGGCCATGACTTCATGGAGGAATCATTCCCGGGAAGAGGCCGACCAATTCCGTGGCGGTGGTGGTAGCCGTTGGTTTGGTCGAAGTTGAGAGATTTAGGCGGGTTGTTAAACTGGTTAGGCCGTTGATCTTTTTCCCTCAATTCTAACTAGATCCGACATCTCATCCTTCTCTAAATGGTCGAGAATGATGGATCCGAGGGTGGGCTACCGATTTATAGTAGTGGTTGGAGGCAATATTGGTCGGAGGAGGGTCGATTTGGGAGAAGAAGTTTAGAGGGTCTAGCGGGTTAACTCATGGGCATTTGAGTCTAATGGTTTCTCCTTAGGAGCTATTAGGCTTGAGTTTTTTTTTCAAGTTTTATACTTTTTCGGGATTCGTGCCCAATTTAAATAGTCGAAGGGGTTGAGTATTTATAAAGAAAAATTAGGATTTTGGGCAAACACTATTTTTTATCCTTGATTTCTCCTAATTTTTTTATTTTGGTATAATTTTATTTGCTTGCATTTTAATTATACCCTTTAATTGAAATCAATCAAGATCTTTTTTTAAAAAAAAATTTCTTCAATTGTACCCAAAAATCATTTTTTTTCCAAATAACTCTCTCTTTTTTCTTTTTTGTATTACTATTTTTTAACTCATAAATCAATTAAATTACTTAGGGTAAAAATTAATTGCTAGCAAACATTATGAATTAAATCTTTAATTAACGTCAAAAGATTGGATGATACATTGAGAGCGATGAGACTAAACCCATAAAAAAAAAAAAACCTATGTGGATACTTTACCTAAAGATTGAAGATTCCAAGAACTTGGTTCAACGAGAAGAATGAGCATTTTACATGCATAATTTATTTAAGTTACGAGTATTCATATATTCATTCCTACGAGTATAGTGAATGAATTTCATAATGAAATAAATATTAAATTTCTTTTAAGAAAATTTTTAATGTGATTTATAGTTCTTTTTGAATAAGATGTTAGAGTTATGAGAGCACTCTCGATTGACACACTTATATGAGCGAGGAAGTGAAGCTACTTTCAATGAGAAAATGGCTAATTCTCTATAACATGCATAAAAGCTAATATCAAGACAATAATATGTTGGCTCGAAACTCATTGTAGATTATGTGGATGAAGTATACATGATATAATATTTATTTTTAATAAAAAGACTTAGTTAAAGACAATATTCATTATTGACTTGAGAGCAATATTATTGAAACACTTATTAAAAGTTCAAGTCATTGACACCTCTAGGTGCATTATATTCATTTTCTTACTAACAATATAACTATTATTCTTTTTATAAAAATAAATAGGGGATTGTTGGATTATTTTGATAAAATATAATATTAATTTTGATCAAAATTATTAGTAACTATTATTTTACTATTTTAAATAAAAAACTATTTCACAATCGTAAAAAATGATTATTTTTCATAATGGTCGAAAACGATAAAAAAATAGTTATTTTTCATAACAAATAAAAAATGGTTTCATAACGGTCACAAACAATTATTTTTCTTCACCTATAAATATGACTTTTTTCTTATAATTTGGATACAAGAACAACTTTGTATACTCTTACTTAGTAAGTGAAGAAAAATAATTCTTCTTTTTTGTCTATTTTTAGTCTCCTAATTAAAAAGCTTATGATTTTTATTAATTCCATCTTTGGATAAGAGTGATACTATTATATTTTGAGTTTCAAGTCTTAAAAGTAGCGCAAACTTATTGTATCTCCGAAATAACATGTAATATATTTTTAATCTATTCCATAAATAAATTGTATAAACGGTGCTTATTGACTCAAAAAAACAATCTGGCTATGCTTAGAGACGATCACTGAAAAAATTTGGTAAAACTATTTTGACGAGTTCGATCATCTTTATACCGTAAAATATGATAATGTAATTTTAAGCCTTGATTTTTTTTTAATTCTTTCTTTATCTTAATTTACAATGAATTTATTTATTTATTACGTGAATTCTTATTATTTAATTATATTGCTTTTCATGTGAGTGGAACATCATTTTGTATTGAATAGTATAATCTTATTTGATACTAATTAATACTACATAAATCAAACACCAAAATAGCTTCTTTTTATCAAACATTTCGTAGCTCCTCTTTAGTCAATTTTTTTTTACCGTATTTAGGTACTTAAAAAGAAGTCTGCACAATAATAAAAACGTACCATAATATTCATAAATTAATATTGACAAAGGAAAGTTCAAAATATAAGAGCTTTTTTTTTCCTTTCTTAAAATTTTAGGATTTTTAAGAAAAAGAAACCTCATAATTAAGATTGATAGACATGGTAAATAATCGCTAGAAAGATTTTTACTCAATAAAAACAGGGAGGCACCCTCTATTTATGCTTTGACCACAAAGTTGCTCAAAGAATCAAATAAAAAATACAGCATTCAAATAAGGTTATGTTAGTTAATACGAAAGTAATGAAATAGAAACAACAAACCATTTTATTTGAATAATTCAGCTTTAAAAATTATTACTTGGAGTAAAAATACTTTAACACGTGTTCAAATTGCGGTGATGTTACATGATCAGGTCATGATAAAGTATTTTTCACAAAAATTAAAACTGAAAAAAAATTGAATTATCCTCGTTACATGAGAAAATCATTTATTATTAAAAAATATTATTAAATTCATAATATATTTTGTTATTCTTATTTAAAAAATTTATTGTTAATTATCAATATATCACTATTATATCAAATTAATGATTAGATAATAATTATATGTAAGAGTCTGTTAGTAATTTATAATAAAATTCAATGGGAATAACAAAATAGACTAAGGATTTAGCAGTAAAAAATAATAATAATACTTTTTAACTTGGTAAAAATTATCCTAAGGACCCAGAAGCATTTGGGCGAAAGACGTGAAGGAAGCGGTGAGTCAAAACCTGTTAAAAAGTCGTCGTCTTTGAAGAAACCACATGCCTACTCCACTATCCACATTGAAGTCTAAGAAGGAATGAGGAAGTTGACCTCGTAATCTCACTATTGATCCAAATATACAAAAATCCTACCCCCTCACCAAATCTGCCAATTCCATCTTTTTTAGCAATTAATTAGATATCCTCTTTTGCAGATTTGGTTTTTATTTTTTCACCCTTTTCCCTTCTCCTGCCCACAGATATTTCTTGCAGTGTACTGTTTGCTTCTAATCCCCCACGGTCAGTGTTAATCAAGATTAACCTTTTTTATTGAAAAAAAAAAAAACACTAAACAGAGTTTGTTTTTTTTTCTTTTTCCTGTTGGGTGTCTTTTATTTTGCGTTTCTCAGAGGCTAAACAGAGTTTTCTGGGTTTTGTGAGATCAGATGGCAGAAGGAAACGTTTCAAGATATGTGAAGTTAACAAAAGAACAAACTGATGCAGAGGAGATCAAGCCTGGTGAACTGAATCAGCCCATTGAGGTTCCTCAGGTCTCAATCTTTCTCTCTATTATCACCTTTTGTTTCAAGTCTTGGGATTTAAATGATTTGAGTGTTTTACTCTCATATGGGATGGTTTCAAAATTTAGGATTTGCACCTGAATGGGTTTAGCTTTTCAATTTTGATTCGATATTGCTGTATCTGCTTCTGTTGGGTCAAATTATACATGCGTTTTTTTATGTGGGATTTCAATGTTGAGACTAAATTTGTGTAAAGATCAGATCTTTTGGTTCTCTGAATGTTTTTGTATTGGTTGGGACAGTTGGCAGTTCGAAAGTGCAATGAATGCGGGCAACCTTTACCTGAAAACTTTGAGCCTCCAGGAGATGAGCCTTGGACTACTGGGATTTTTGGATGTGCTGAAGATACTGAAAGCTGTAAGTAAATTTATAATTTAGTAGTATATAGTTTTAAAATCAATATTTTATGATGTGGGTGTATCACATTCGGATATGTTCAGAACTTGTCGGCGATGAATTGCTGCCGCCATTGTGATTTATGTAGTGCTTTTCATTTTATTGATTTTTATTTATTTATTTATTTATTTATTTTGAGTTAGAATTTATGACATGGACATATAAACTAAGTTGATCTTCTTTGCCCTTAAATCAAACGGATGTGGAACTATCTGGTAATTATCATAAATGGCTTTAGCCAAATATGAGTTTGTGCTCATTGCATGTGCTTGAAAGGAATGTCATGGCAATTTTTCTTGAAACTCATGCCCTAGACAAGTTATATGAGCACTACTTTCTTGATAGAGTCGTGTCCTTGAGCTAACTGAGAATTTTATGTTTAACTTTGTTGGAGACAATATTCCATCAGATCAAAAATTGTTTATTTGCCCCTATGATAGGCCCATTTAGGGTTTGAATGCAGGCAGTTCACTTGTTCCTGTTTTTTTTTTTTTTTTCGCAAATAAATGATTTCTTTTATTTCTTTTCTTTTCTTCTCATTTTTCTCAAATCCCCGTGGATGTAAAACGAAACTCTTGACGTTTTCTAGTGCAACTTGTCTCATGGTGATTTTTCCCCATTGCTCTTAGTAGATAAAAAGTAGTTTTTTCCACAACTATTGAATTTAAATGCATGGATGGCATTTGAAATCCTTCACAGATTTTACTATAACAGTTCAAATTTTTTATTCATTTTAAGAACACAGTTCTGAAAATGACTTTGTGAGATTTTGGAAATTGATAGTTATTGTGGCCTTGTGTTGTTGCCACTTGCCTTAACCGATCAAACGTTTAGGTCTAACGAACTTCTTAACTCTGAATTGGAACTTTATTCTGAAGTTATAATCTAGTGAAAAACAGGAAATAGTTATTATTTAGAGTTTTACGAATTGAATTGGCAATGCAATGTACAAGTTTTCAAACTCAGCTAACTTAAGCATGTAATCCTTTGCATTCCCAGTTTTTCTTTCCCTGTATTTATTTTTGAAACAAATTACAATTGGATATGACAATTAGTTTTAGGGATGATGTTAAATTTGTTTCTCGTAATCAATAATGCAGTAATGACTTAGATAAGACAAGGCACATTATTTTAGAATCCTCACCTTACTTGGAAAATTGTGTTAGGCTGTCACAAATTTTTTGCTGTTCCTTTGTGAAGTGGATGATATTGTGTTTTTGGCAACTTCATGCAACTCGTTCTCTTCTATATCTTAATTTCATCAACAAGTATGTCTCTAGGTCCAATTTTGAGTGTTTCAATTGGTTATTTATGCAAGGCATTATGAATTAATACTTCTTATTTTACACCTCGAAAGGCTGGACAGGACTATTTTGCCCTTGTGTTCTATTTGGTAGAAATATCGAGAGCTTGAGAGATGATACCCCCTGGACTACACCATGCATTTGCCATGCCGTTTGTGTTGAAGGTGGCATTGCACTGACCGCAGCAACAGCTGTCTTCCATGGCATTGATCCAAGGACCTCATTTCTCATTTGTGAGGGTTTGCTTTTTGCTTGGTGGATGTGTGGCATATACACTGGTCTTGTTCGACAGTCTTTACAGAAGAAATATCATCTCAAGGTACTCTCAATTTCTCTATTTTAATATTCATTTTATGAATTGAAGATGGCAGTTATCCTTAACACATGCAGCTTTTGTAGATGCAGACAAGATGACTGCTGCTGAATTCCTTTCGTATTTCATGGGAACACTTGATAAATTTAGGAGTTGTAATGCATAGAATAGTGTAATTGTTGATATTATGCCTTGAATGACTTGATATTTCAATGTGCTGTCTTATGGTGAGAATTACTTTGTCAGTGTATAAATTTTTAGTGCATCATAGAGTGCGCTGTGGGAAGTTGATGTCAAATAACAAAACATAATGAAATAGTAGTAAAAACTTGTAAATTTAAAGGACATTTTGTTTATTCATGAAGTAATATGATATGAAGATTTCAGAAGCAGATTTTTTGTTCAATTCAAAGCTAGTAGTTTCAAAAGCAGCAAAGAGCATTAAATTTGAGCTTTTGCAAAAAGTATGTCAACTGCCTTTTTCAGTTAACCAAAATCACATGGCCTGTGCTTGCTAACAATAAGCATGGCTTCCCCTGTGCTATCTAATGGAGCTATATTTAGGGTGTTGCTATAATGCTGATGTTTTTAGCTTTGCCACAATGCGATGCCTAAAGCTCATGCATTGTAGACACCGCCCAACACAACACCCCCCCCCCCCCCCCCCCCCCCTCATATTTAACTTTACTGATTACTGTCTTGCATTTGTTTGGATTGCAGAATTCACCTTGTGACCCATGCATGGTGCACTGCTGCATGCACTGGTGTGCTTTGTGCCAGGAGCACAGGGAGATGAAGGGGCGTCTATCAGATAACTTTGTCATGCCAATGACCATTGTCAATCCTCCTCCCGTTCAAGAGATGAGTGCCACCAACGAAAACCAGGATTCTACTCCATCCCCTGAGAAGGGGACCAGCTTGGAGATGCAGCCTCTGTGAAATCCAGTCATACAATAGCATACTAGGGAAGCGAATTTGATCTTAAAACTGATTTTTTCGTTCTGTTAGAAACAATTTCCTTACACAAGAAATTACTGCAACCCCCTGTGCATCAAATGATCAAAAGATTCACAACAGTCGTACTTTTTGCCCTTGTTGATAACTTTTTTGTAGAGTGAAGTCTACTTTTTATTAATGCGGATGCATTCTCCTTCAGACCATCTGTTTATGCATCCACATCTTTTGAATGTAATGCTATATATGTCTATACATCCTGGTGGTTATGATGAACCAGAAAGAGTTGCTTCCATAGCGTCAGCCTCATATTGTGTTGTTTTTAAAAATGTTTGAATTTTGCGCATTTGGCTTTTAATACGAGAAATCTGTTGGTGCTGAATTTGGTGATGTACTTAAACATTTGGTTAGCAGGTTCTGTTTCAAAAGTAAATCTCACGTGGGATGGGTCGATCTAACAATCTACACGTCCAACACGCCACCAATTAGCCAGATAGCAAAACTCTTTTCTGGATTGTTGCTTCACCATCTTTACATTGAGGACGCCTGCAATGCCTCTAGAGAGGATGGAATCATGGATTAGAAGAGGAAGATGGTCGGTGTTGCCGATCCTATAGGGCCTGTTTGCATAGGGTGAAAAGTGAAGGAGAGGAAAGAAAAGATCCTATAGGGCCTGTTTGGATAGGGTGGAAAGTGAAGGAGAGGAAAGAAAAGTTTCCTTTGTTTGTGTTGGGGAGGAAAGCTGTGGAAAGAAAGAAAAAATATTAAACAAACTTATAAATGGTGAGATCCATTTTCCTCCCAAAATTGGGAGGAAACCGAGAGAAAAAACCTAAGAAATCATCAAAATATGAGATATTCTCGTTTTAGCCCTCTATCCGCCTCATCATCCCTCTCCGTTTCTCTACACTCTCTGCAGTAATAAATCACGACAAAACGGATCCGCCTCATCATCCCTCTCCTTTTCTCTGCACTCTCTACAAGTACAAAGACAAGGACCGAAGGTTTACTTGCATAAAAGGGCACACCGGTTACGCACATTGACGGCTTACTAACGGGTAATGAGTTGTTTGATTTTTTTCTTTGTCTTCTATAAGATGGGTTGTGTTTGCTCTAGAATGGGTGATGTGACTTCGGTTTAAAATTCAACATCAAAATTAGACTAAAAATGAAAAAATACACCATTTTCTTCCTTCCTTGCCCGTTAGAACTTTCTCCAGTTTTACCTTCTCCCTATCAACAAAGCAAAGGGCAAAGGACGAGTGCCCTTCGGTTTGTGCTTATTATTTGTTATTTTCTTTGATTTATTTGCTTAGATTAGTGTCATTTTTCCATTTCTTGTTCTTTGATTAATGGGTATTTGCAATTTTATTGTCTAATGGGTGACTTAGTTATTTTGTGATCTTGATTGAAAATTGAATATTTCACTAAAATTATTGTCTGCCGTTTCAAGTTTATGGCTTTACGGTTGCGGTGGCGTTGCATCATCTACATATCCGAGTGACACTTGTTGGTAGTACGTACCAAGTGAGTCCTCTTGCTATTGTGGATCCATCAAGATTCTCGGGTGAGATAGCTATGTTGCCACAATAGCCACATTTGATGTTGTCCGGTGGGAAAGAGGATTTGGGTGCTTTAGCTTTATTGGAAGACGAGTGTAAAAAAGTTAAAGAGTCCTAAAACTTCGCCAAGGCAAGCTACGAGTAAGACCTAGGTCGATCGTGCGCTTGATCATTTAGCCGATTGGGTTTATGAGTCTTGTGGGTCCGTGTCCTTTTTGAGTTTATAGAATCCAAAGTTCGAGCTTTTCCGAATCAAGTTGGGTTGCTTGTGTTTTCAAGAAAGGATTTTGTAGGTGGGAGATTAGATGTTAAGTACGAGGAAGCTAGGGCTGAATCCGAGGCAAGGATTCGAGAAGCTATGTTGATGTTAACTTGAATGGTTAATCAACCTTATCAGCAACCTTAGACTCGCCATAGGTTCCCGAATGATTTTCTTTATAGCTATTCCTCATTTATTTTCATATATCGGTGATTGAGATAGTTCCAATTATTTTAGACTAGTTTAAGTAGTTTGATGAATATTGGATGGATGATTTCGTATAATAGTGGGTCTAAGCCATGTGTATTTGTTCTATGCTATACCTATTGCACTCTTATGTTGGTAGTTACCTTAACATGTAAGCTCCGAGGACCTACCAAAAAATTTGTTTGATTTCTATATATTAGACTAGTTTAATATAAATGATATTAATATAGTATGTTTGTTAAAGGCCTAAAGGGATTTAAAAGGTTAGGTGGTATGACCTATTTACCAAACAATGGTGTAGTGATCTTTTTCAATGTATAGTTTCAAATTTTTAACTACGGACATTTTTTCTAGACTTTAAAAGAAACACCGTAATAGTTTAGGTGGTACATGGAAAGGGATAGAGTTAGGGACAAGCGAAATGACAGGGATCGGGAGAAATCTAGGGATATTAAAGAGTGATTTAGGAAACTTTTATAATTCCAACATCAATTCTTTTGGACGGGGAAAAGACAATCTAAACAATAATTTTAATCCACGGAATTAAAATGCTTACTTCAATTCAAAACGTCTTTTAACTTCAAGAAAATATATATCTAGTCGTCATGTTTTTTGACCTAACTTCTTTGTTTTTCATATGTGGTTTCGGAGATGAAGATGAAGATGATTTTGAAGAAAGGATTGCATTGAAATTAGCTGAACAGGGAGGAGGAAGATCACAATATAATAAAGGAGGAAAGTAGAAAGCTAAGGGAAGCCATTCTTGAAAAACTTAGAAATCGGCGATTCATGACAACAAAATGATTTTGGTTGTACATGCTTGCTTGATAGGTCTCACTTAGATATGGTAACTTGCTTGTTGAAACTTCATACCGTTATCAAGAAACATGATTCGGAATTGTCATTTTATTTGATGTGCAAGTTTCAGCGAGTACATGCAATTTTTTTCAACTTGAATGCAGTTATAGTATTTGATATGGGATACTCCTAAATTCATCAATTAAATTATGATTCTTATCAATTTTTTTTATAATTGATGAAAAATATATTGATAATTGTATAAAATTTTTTTTATAGAAATAACCATTTAATTAGTAAATTTAGCGATACTTTTTGACATCCCACTCAAATTGCTAAAAATGATAATCATCAATCGAACCCGTTGATATTAATATATATTGACAATGTCCCACATGTGCACCTTCATTTATTTTTTTGTTCCATAAAAAACGAGAAAAAAAAACTTTATAATTTTATCCTCAACATGGAAATGATGTTTTTCCAAAAAGAGAAGATGAAATGTAATTATTGTAAAATGGAAGCATGGACTATCCCCTTTCGATTCTTACTAGATGCTAGCCACTATGCAAATGTGTATCAAAACACTAGCTAGGTCTAATCTCAAGCCCTAATTCTATTACCACTTATCTCCAACACTAACTAGCTACCTGCTATGTCATTAAGTACCTTTTCTATCTAATAACACCTTCAAATACTATTATTGCATTTGCATTAAAAGTATTTACTTGTTCTTTGTTCGGTTCTTGCTTTATGCCTCTGTATTTTTTTTTTTTTGCTTTTTCGATGTGTTATTTTTCAGCCAAGTTGTATATATATATTGATGGTTCACGGTTTGGGTTGCTATTTTAGCTGCAATCAATTTGTCTATTTATTTTTATAAATGTCAATATGATTTGTAATATAAATAGCTTTGAATCGATCTTTTAAAATTCATTTGAATTGTTGGTTCATTTGGTTTTATGAACATTCAATGCTAGATAGGAGAATAACGAGTAGAGGGTTGTCGACTGGTTTTGATTTATGATAAGACATATCTTCTACATTCAAGAGAGGTAAGTTTTTTATATCTTTGGGTATTAAAAAACTATATTTGTATTTAGAATCTATCTACATATATCATTTGATATGTATTTCTATATTATGTAATGCTATATAGGTGCACTTTTTCTTTCAAGCGATCTATGTTTTTATGACATTAGTTTAGATATGAATATTACAATATTTTGCATTTAACATAGATGGAAATGAATGTCATTAAGAACATGCATGACGAAGAACAAAGATGTAACACACTAAATGAGAACTTGTTGCAATCAAATGGTGGTGTTCCTTCGATCTTGAGAAACTTGCAAAACATTCGGAAAAAAATTAAGGAATGTCAAGAACGGCATTGACATATCATGGAGAATTGGGAAAGAAGACACCGAATGATAGTTCTACAACTAATTTTTCATGTTGTGCATGCATTACACCTAATTAATGCTCAAGCATTTGGAGTTCGTAAATGTATACCCAAAGGAAGTGCTGCAAGAGATCATCTATGCCAAGAATTAGTAAATAGGTTAACTTCAAGTGAGACGTCTCGTCGGATATTGTACGGATGAGTCCTCAAGCTTTCTTTCAATTATGTCGGATGTTGAGAGGAAGAGATCATTTAAAGGACTATAGGCGAGCAAGCCGTAGAGGAGCAAGTTGCCAAGTTCCTCCACATTTTAGGTCACAACTGAAAAAATCGAGAGCTCGTTTTTTATTTTCATCAATTAGGTGAAACTATTAGTCGACATTTTCATAATGTGTTATGGGTAGGGATTTCCCTTGAAAGCAAACTCCTTAAACAACCATTTAGTTTAGAGGTTCCACCACAGATTAGAAAATAGTAGTACATTTTTTCCTTTTTTCAAGGTAAGAAACCTACGTTATATTTTACATAAGTAACTTTTCTAAGATATTTATTTATTTAACAATGATATAATATATGAAAGCATTTATACATATACATTTATACGGGATTATATTGGGACAATAGATGGAACACATATTCGTGTTAAGGTACCAAATGATATTGCAATTAGATATCGAGGTCGAAAAGATTGGTTAACATAAAATGTATTAGCTATCGTGATTTTGACATAAAGTTTACGTATGTTTTAGGCTGGATGGGAGGGAACGACATTTGATTCAAGAATTCTAAAAAATGCTCTAGATAAGGAAGAAAAGCTGATAATTCCTTGAGGTCAATTTAATTAGTATAGAGTTCTACTCCTTTATTTTTGAATGCAACTACATATCTTCTAACCGTACGTAATTATTTTTCTTAGGAAAATATTATCCGGTGGATGCCGATTACATGCTAAAAAGTACACTATTCACCCCATATAGAGGTGTGCAATACCATTTGAAAGAATATTCTATACATGGCCTTCGAATTATAAGGAGTTATTCAACCATCGTCACACCTCCCTTTGAAATGTCATTGAAAGAGCATTCGATGTAATGAAAAAGAGATTTCCCATCATCGCAAGTGGAACGAAACTACATTACTCATTTCATACAATGACGGACATAGTGCTGGCTCGTTTTATATTGCATAACTATTTGATTGAAGTAGATCCCGATGATGCTATTCTTGCTGAAGTTGACAAAGAGCTACTTGAAGCCGATAGTCAAGAAAACCAAGAAATATATGGTGGACGCAATGCTGATCATGAAGCAAGATAAGGGGCACTTTTGTGAGATTCTATAGCGATGCAAATATGGAATGCCTATGAACAAAATTGTAGAATGCAATTGAACCAATTAGTTGAATGTTTTTCCTATTATTAATATATTATGATGTGAATTAGAATAATATGTACGTGTTATGACTTTAATGCAAGTTAATGATGTCCGTAATTTTAATATGTATTGTTGTTTTTTTGCTAGGTATATTATACTAGTATGTATGAATTATGACCCTAATTCAAGTTAATAAAGTTTTTAATGGTAACATTTATTACTTTGTGTTGTGTTCTTAACGTATTTTCAAGTTGCCAAGTATATTACAAAATTGTTTAATTAAAATTCATGCTTTGCGATATAGAAGATGCGTAAGGGGAAGCAACAAAAGGGTTCATAGGACGATGCTTCTACCGAAGTAATATCTTTTGGAGCATCGAAATGGATAATGTATTAATTGATTGCATGATTGAAGAGAAAATCAAAGGTAATCGACCGGAAGGACATTGGACAACAACGACCTTAGATAACATGTTGCAAGTTATAAGGGCTAAATTTGGGAATCACATCCAAAAGAACCATATTAAGAATAGACAAAAGACATTGAAGACAACTTTTAGTAAGACGAAAGACTTATTTCATGGTGCAAGTGGATTTAGATGGAATCTCGAGACAAAGACTTTTAAAGCAAGTACCGAGGTTTGGGGGGAGCTTATTTAGGTGACTAGCATATATAAATTTTATGAATAAATTACTTTTAAAGTATATGATAAATTACTCTTAATGTGTAGGCAAAACCGGAAGGGCAAAAGTGGATGCATCATCTAATCAACAACTATGATAAATTGTATCGGTTATATGGACAAGATGGAGCTACTGGAGAGGGTTACGTAAGTGCTAGAGAGAGGGTGATGATGTGGAAAAGGGAAGGTTCATTTAGTCATTTTGATCTCAATGAGGATAATAACATCACATCGGATAGCGAAACAAACTAAGGGAATCAAGTGCCAAGCTATAATGCAAATGTTAACTTTTATACTCCCGAGTATGTAGCTTTGCCCAATTCCGAAGAAACAAACTCATCTAGAGGCACTAAATATAAATCTCATATGGTGGAAGCAATTCGAGTCAATCTAAAATGATGTGTTTAGGAATAAAAGAAGTCTCTAAAGTAATGAAGGAAGGAAATGCAATTGCAAAGAAATCGTTGCAAATTTTAGAAAGGGACAATGAAATACTGGAAGAAGGGAACTTCATTGCACAAAAGTCATTGACCATTTTAGATAGGGGACGTCAAAAATTTTTTCATGAGGATGAGATATTCACTGAGCTTGAAACGATAGGATTGCAATCTAGCTTCCAAATGAGTGCATATTTCTTTTTGGCGATAATCTGTCACTTACAAGATAATTCTTTGGGTTGCCTCTTCATAGAAGACTTGAATTTCTAACACAAGTGATGACTAAAAGAAGTGGTTGAAGAAAGTAAGTTAATCATACACAAGCTTGGAGTACAATTTGTTGTTTTATCAATTGTTTCAAATTTATTAAACTTACAAACTATTCCCATATTGTTGCTCAATGTACACTTCGCTTCCTTGTTGTTGTTTTTTTTCATTTTGCAATTGGGCTACTTGTGTGCGCAATTAAATGGTGAAGCAGAATGCTAGGGAACTTATTCGAACCACACTTGAATTTTTGTTATATTGTGATCTTCAAGTGTATTTAGCGGCTATTATATGTGGATGTTGTCTTAAATTATAATGACTTAACTAGAAACTCATTTAACTTGATTGTGGTAGCAGAACAAATTGATGCTAAGACTTTCATAATTATTTGTAATGTGTATATACAAATTGATCCTAAAACTTACCTAATTATATGTAGTGTTTGCACATAATTTTTGCTCCGATTTATTTATTTATTTATTCTAAGTATTACAAAAATACCAAAAAATAATAATAGTAAAGCAAATCAAGCAAAAAAATAGAAAAAAAGAGCAATTGGAATGGTCTAGTTTAGATTAATTCAAAGAAGAGAGCTAATTGAGAAAAATAATGGGTTGGAAACAATTCAAAAGACAATCAAGGGCATAACCGAAAAAAATCAAACACTCGAAGACACCCCTAAAAATATCCCAAAAAATACACCCCTTAAAATAGCCATCAAACACCTCCCCTAAAACTAGACCTCAAATAGCTACAAACAAGCCCCAAAACACCCTAAAAAACAGCCCCAAAATCAACTACAAAACAGACTCAACACCTACCAAAAGCTCCCAAAATCAACCCCGAAACTATTACTAATAGCCCTCAAAACCCTTACAGAGCAACCCACTTTGGACGATCTATTTGAACCACCAAAGCAGACCCTAAAAACACCCCCAAACCAGCTTCAAAACCACAAAAAATAAACTCAAAAAAACCCACCAAAACAGACACAAAACATCCCTCAAAATAGCACCTTGAACACTTTTTGGAGTTACTACAAAGAAGAAATAAAAATTATTATTAAAAAAAAAGGCTAAACATATTTTCGTGTGTTGGATTATTGGCGACCACAACATGATGTTGTAGGTTGCATTTGATTGAGTCTTTTTTTATAGAAAAATAAGCAACAAAAGCTACCTTGGGCTTTCGGGAACTCTGTAAATTTTACGAGTAAATTTAGAGTGTTCACTCGAGTAACGGGTTATGCCTATTGATCCAAATATGTAATTTATCTCATTTTTTGTGATTCAATTGACTTTCCATGATTGTTCGCAATGCTACAATAAACTCTCTTTTTTTTGCTAAATAGTAATTTTTTAATCCAAAAAAAAAAGTTGAGAAAATAATGGATAAAAGCAACTAACTTATTATATGCATAGATAATAATACATGTTATGCATATTTAAATTAATTTTATGTTGATAATTATTCTAAATTGGCTATTGAATTAATTAATTAGTAAACGATTATTGATTATTCTATGGAGATGATTCATTCTCCATTTTGTCATTTCAAATAGATGCTACATGCTATATTTTTATTTTATTATCATTTGTGTAATTTTTATGAAAAAAAATATTCATACAAATTTATTATAAGTATTTAAATATAGAAATGTAATCATATGGGTATTATAGTAAATATATAATAATATATTTTCTTTCCTTCCTCTTTTTACAATTATCTAAACAAATAAAATATACTTTCTTTCCTTTTATTTCTACTTTTATCCCAACAATAAATAGAAAATAGTTTTCTTTTCTTTCACTTTTTTTTTCTTTTTTTCTTTCAAGAGGAAATATCCAAACACAGGAACACTTTCTGTTTACTGAATAAATCTGGTGTATTCAGTGGCCTGATAACAGTTAAGTAGGATCAAGTAAGACCCAAAAATGATAAGACACAAGTTATTATTGTCAGTTGTCACAGCTTACGAAGCTGAAAAAGCTAAACCAAGGACTGCCCCAAAGCTCCCATTCCTCCAGTCAGTTTCCATTGTTTAGCACAGTTAGGCCTTTTATCACTGCATGATCCCACTCGTATTTTGCGTAAAATAGAAGGCTGTTTCACTAATCTTTCTCTTTCAAAACCAGAATCAACGCGAAACAAAATACTTGCCCCCCAGTCAAAGTTTAATGTCCAAAACACTACTAATACCTACCTACAATCACTCTCTCACACACACACTCTTCGAGACATCGTGACTCTTTCTAGTGTCTAGGCTTGTTTCCATGGAAAGGCCACAGCCAGAGACCGGACGGAGGGGAATGATAAAGAATAAAGAAAGGGTGCAGTGCCTTCCACCTGGGCGCATGTTACTAGTGCCTCCCATGGTGAGACAACCACCACCGCCGCCACCCAATCAAGTGAAGCTAGCAGCAATAGCTGTCGACTTGAACATACGGCTGAGATCAGCAGATATGCCTGGTGCAATGCAAGAGCGTGCTTTTAGGTGCACTAGAACACTCCTTGATGCTACAAACCTCAAAAGCAAGAAGCCCAATCCCACACAAATTGCCATATGTCTGAAGAAGGTATGCAGATTTCCATGACTTCAGTCCTGATGAATGATGATTGTTGTAAAATTTGCTCTAGTACAGACAAAGTAATTTTTTTAACCCTAAGTTCCAAATATAGAATCTTTTTTATAAAATAAATGTGGCATCTATCAATACTAGCTAGTTCATGTGAATTTACGTTTCAATTTACTGGTGGGAATTTTTTTAAGTCTCCCTATTATTAGTTTATCATCGGGCTCATTAGCAAGCAGATAGGTGAATTAGCCCGCCATATCCCACCTCCTCTCTTCCCCTTTTAATAATGAACCTGACATGAAAGAAGGTCGTCCCATTAATGTATTCATGACTAGCTAGTGAGATCATTCATCGAGGAGGAGTACAGATATTAACGAAGTAATTTTTCAGGGAGAACCTACAATGACTGTCAAGTTAGGCAGGCAGCTCTAAGGATTGAATAAAACAGTTTTAAGGTGGTTGTCAAAATTCAAACTTTTTATTAAGCTTATAACTTCAATTTTAAAAATTATACATCGATTCATGATGTACAGAGTTAAGGATTTTGTCATTACCTTAATTTCCTTACTGGCATAAAATGGATTTTGTTTGAAATGCTGGGACAATTAACTATAAACTTCTGAGACACGAGCCGCGCCCTATGTTTTCAAACTTCATTGAAATTTCTTGGATGTAACAGCTGACAACAACCAAAAGTATTGATCTAATTGACCTTAATTGACTTCATCTTCTTCTCCTTGCCTCCTTTCTTAACGAGTCCTCACTCATAAGCTTTTATAAGTAACGTCATTTGACAGCATTGGTGTTCATTAGTCAGACCTATTTTTTTCCCTCTTTTTCTTCAGGAGTTTGATGCAATTTATGGTCTGGCATGGCATTGCATTGTTGGCAAGAGTTTTGGGTCATTTGTGACTCACTCAAGTGGTGGATTTGTGTAATTTTTTTGTGGACAAACTCTTTTTTCTTCTCTTCAAGACAGAGGTTCAACCAGTGAAGAAGCCACCTACATTGCGCAAGCTCAATGCATAAAGTAGTTAGGCTAATGTAAAATGTCTTCTTAAATTTTAGGTCCATGACTCTGCATTATATGGTCAAGGAGTAGATTATGTTATCACTGTATATGTAGGACCTCTGTAAATTATAATTCTGATGCTGTTTTAAATACTCTTTCCCAGTTGTTTTTTCTTTTTCTTTTTCTTTTTTCATACAAGTAGCTAGATTTTGTTTCGAATAATATTAAAATATTACAAAACCTATTTGAATTTTGATTTGGGTCTTGTTGTGTACTATTATATTACTACAAGACAAACAAGAATCGCCTAAAACTTTCACAAATTACATCCTGACTATAATCGATTTGATCAGAATTGCATTAGTATATCTCTGCTAAAGAAATTTGAAGAACGATAAAGACAGCTTGCCAATTTCCTTCATGGCTATAAAGGATGGTGACCGCATGTCGCTCTGCCAACAAATTTATTTATTTTTTTTCCTCATTGGATCCAACTACAAAAAGGCATTTAGATCAAATCAGGGTCTAACCCACAGAGAGGTGGTTCAATCAATGTCTTTTTTCTTCTTATTGTTTCAAACTAAAGTAAAGGAAAAGGAGGATTTTGGTCCGTTGAGAGTAGTAAAGGTAAACACAATTAAATAAAGAGATGACAATCATAATGAAAGCCTTGGTTGAAAATTGGTTTCCACTTTTAGTTCATTCGTTAATCATCGATTCATATATTAATCCATTCTTATTATGAATATCCATCGTAAGACAATAACATGTATGTTATTCTCATTCTTTCCTTAGTAATTCATTAACTAAACGAGATGCTAGTTGATTAATCCCTAACTACCGAACAACCGAGTAGACGCTAATTAGACTTAATCCAACGAGCAACATTAAATAATAGAAAGATATGTAGAGTTAAACAACCCTCATAAATACTAAAAGTATTTAATCTAGTTTTATATTTTTCAAGGGATTAAATGAAACCCTTTATAATTATTAACTCTTAGTTGCTACCACAAGTAAGTTTAGATAAGCAATTATTGACTTGAATACTTAGCTAGCAATAGATTATAACGATTAACTAACTAGTGTGGACTTGAATTAATCGACCATATAATCATATTCAAATAACATAGAAAAACCTTAAATACTTAAAAGAATAGGATTAGAGACAAAACTCGTTTAGATCTACTTAAAAGAATAGGATTAAAGATAAAGCTCGTTTAGATCTCACAATGAATTACGCCAAAAGCCTCTTCAACCAAGAAAGATTCTTAGTGATGCATTGTTTGCTTACAAAAGAAAATTTCTATCTATGATGGCCGTAAGAATGGGAGAATCTCTAGAATGAACCCTAACTTCTCTATTTATGGCCAAAAGTAGGGTTACAACATACACTTGGCGACTCCATGGAGACACACGATTTATTTGATTGAGGCACATGGCTTGCTCTTTTGTTTCACACGAGTTTGGAGCCTTGGAGAGTTGGTGGCACATGGCTTGCTAGGTCGAGGCACATAGTCGTGCCTAATTTGCTCTTCATCCCGTGTTCTTTAGTTTATGTCCGTGTGTCGTTTCTTTCTCCTTTGAGGACATCTCGGCCTTGACACATACATATAGGCGCTTCTTGCTCAAGTTCGTGTAGATTGTTACTCGCTCGTGCATCTTCTTTGTTGAGCATCCATTTTTTTTGTTTCACACGACTAGTAGCTTTTTTCTCTTGTAGGTCACATGGCCAAATGACTTCTTTGCTTCCTTAGTGGCTTTGGCTTATTATGCATTTTGATATGGGTTTGTTCACTCTAATTTATCATTTTTTTTATATAAAAACCTAAAATTGTTAACTTGTTTTTATTTACCTTAATATAATACAATAAGCACTAATAAGTTTAATGTAAAAAGGCATAAAAATTGTGTAAATTATGCACCTATCAAATTACCCCACACTTAAACTTTGCTAGTCCTTGAGCAAAATAAACAAAACAAAAACTTAACAACTCACTTTCGTAGGAATCATAATTGCATTTAGCATATGCAATAAGCCATTAAACCCCTAGGTTACTCTTAGTGGACGAGTTAAGTCTTGTGAGGATTTTTAGAAGATATACCCATAAAATCTTGAATGAATGTCATACCGAGTATGCTTCTCCTTCAAACATTGATTCTTAATTCGGAATTCAACAAAATTGGACAATCAAATCAATCATGTTAAAAATACTATTCTCATGTCCATGCATGTTTCTAAATCGATTTGTGTATTTTTGTAACCAATCATAATTTAAGCATGCAATACTTATTTTGTCATTATCCCTTTCCACTTCTACAAGCAAAAGTAGTAAATCAAGATTTCTTTTTTTTAAACCCTTTTTTTATTTTAGCATTCCAATCCTTTTTCAAGGCCTTTAGCAATTCTTTTCTAAGTGATCACTTGTCGTTTTTTGCATTAGTGAAAGCAATCGGTTACTCAACAAGCCATACACTTAGAGTGTTTTGAATCCTTATAATTCAAGTTATAGTTTGATGTACAAGTAAACATTTATGATGAATACTCCTAATTACTATGCAACTCAAAATATTGGAGTAGATTTACATTCAATAAGGCTAACTTTCCATTTGGAATGCTTTTTTTTTCTTTTCTTTTCAAATTTCATAATAGCTAGAAAATATTGTTTACATAAACCTTGCTTAGGCCTAGTTTCAAAAGGTAATTTCAAAACAAGCATCACTTCACAAATCATACTTAATCATAAAGATAAATGAATCTTTCTAGTATGCATGCATTTCCACAACAACAATATTCTAAATAGTCTTAAATTTCTCATAAAATTTTATTAAAACGCTTTATCAATCATTCATTATGAACAATAACATACTAAACATGGCATTCATTTCATCATCTTTATATGAATAAATAACCTAAAAAAATTAAATACAAACACAAAACATATAAACAATCACAAACAAATTAATCAAACATAAATCCTACCCCTACACTTAAACTTTACATTGTCCTTAATGTAAACACTAAATGGATCATGGTATTTAAAATTGAAAGAAAATGGTAAGAGATCATATCCGGTATGCAATAGTCAAAATGGATTTAGAGGTAAAGGATGGAAGGGCGACCAGAGACACACATTCGTGCCTCTTATGCTACACAAATCATGTATTATGTTACTACCCATGCCTCCCTTCTCTCTTTCTCTTCATTGCAACCGCTTATAATCCACAAAGTCTGTATCGATTTTCTCTTACAAACTATATGAATTCCTACCGCCCATGTCTTTATGTTTCCTTGGAAGGCTGAAGTAGTGGGCAAAAGACAAGCGAGCGTGCCTTTTTTGAAGGTTAACCCGTATCTCATGCTACTACCCTACTTCCTCTCTTCTTGTTTTAAAATTTCAGCCATAATTCAAACACATGAGCATGCCTTTTAACATGCACAAGTCATGTCTCAAGCCATTGCTTATGTGGCTTCTCTTTTCTTTTCCTTCTTTCAAAACCAATGAACACATATGCTGCAAACATTCTTAAAATCAAGTCAAGCATGTAGGGAATTTGGAGAAAATTAAAAACAAAACTAATTTAAGCACCAACTAAAGTAATAAAATAGCAACTTCAAGCTGCATTCATTGGGTTATCTCCCAATAAGCGTATTTCTTTAACGTCGTTAGCTCAACGTTGGTATTGTTCGGTCCTCATAATTGTGATCCTTCAATGTAATCACTTTCACTTGTTGCACTTAGAACCCTTCATAGAAGGGTTTCAATTAGTGGCCATCCACTTTGAACACCTTTTTGGTCTTCGGATGAATTTCAACCGTACCATGGGGAAACACACTAGTAAAAACAAAAGGTCCAATCCAGCGAGAACATAACTTAGAAAAAGTTTAAGTTTGAAATGATGGAGGAGAAATTTTTTTCCTACAATAAAAGTCTTCCTAGCAACCATCTTGTCATGAAATATCTTTTTTTTTCCTTATAAGTATTCACATTTTTGTAGGAATCAAGTCGTAGTTCCTTCAATTCCCGTAGTTGCAATTTCATTTGCTCACCTATTCATTCATTCTCATGTTGCATTATTTGATTGTCCAAAAAGCCTTATGTTCAATTTCTAATAAAAAATGACAAGACTTTTCATAAACCAAATGATAAGGAAAAATGCCAATTGGTGTCTTGTAGATCGTCTTATATGCCCAAAGAGTATTATTAAATCTATCACTCCAATCTTTATGGTTGGGATTTACTACTTTCATTAAAATAGACTTAATATCTCTGTTTGACACTTCGAGTTGTCCATTTGTTTTTGGAAGATAGACGATGGACACCTTATGTGTAACATGGTATTTTTTTCAATAAATTGGCTACCACTCGATTGTAAAAGTGTGTACCTCTATCACTAATCGGTGTTCATAGCATCCCAAATCTAGCAAAAATATTAGACTTGACAAAATCTATCACCACTTTAGAATTGTTAGTCTTGGTGGCTTTAGCTTCCACCCATTTAGACACATAATCGACAACTAAGATAATATAAGAAAAACCAAAAGAAGAATGGAATGGTCCCATAAAATCAATGCCTTATACATAAAAACAAATCTCACAAGCAAGTATAGGAGATAAAGACATTTGATTTTTATTTGACAAATTACCTTATTTCGACATTATTCACATACCTTACGGAACATATAAGAATCATAAAATAAACTTGGCTAATAAAAGCCACATTCAAGTATTTTCCTAGTAGTTACGTTAGGTTTAAAATGCCCACCACAAGTATACACATGATAAAATATTAGAATAGACTCAAACTCATGCTCAAGCATGCATCTCCTAACTACTTGGTCAAAACAATACTTCCACAAATAACAATCATCCCACAAATAATATTTGGCATCACTCTTTATTCTATTTCTACTATCATACTCAAATTAGTAGGTATTTCATGCTTTGTGAGATAGTTAACAATATCGACATACCATGGTTCCTTACCTTGAAGTGATAACAATTGTTCATCTAGG